GATACTCAAAAATATACTTTTAAATACTTATTTTATCTCAATTCATCTCTTTTAAATTGGTATTTTAAGAAATAATCCATGATATGCATATATTCCATTTTTTAGCATCATTTGTTTATTTTCTAATAACATTTATGCCTTGCAATGCAATTTGTATATAAATAGATAGACATTGCTTGTTGCTTATTGTAATGACATTGGTTGGAATTTGTAAATATATAGTATTATATGTGTGAAGGATTGCACGTAGTTTTTAATTGCTAGATGCCTGTCTTTGACCTCTAAAGGTATACAAGTCATGATGTATCAATTAGGATGTAACGATTTTGTTGGTAGTCAATTATTAGATCATGCTATCTTTTCTATTTTCATAATCATTTCTACCTCACATCATTAGTTCTAGGAATTAATCTACATTAATTTGGAAGAATCTACCTTCTAGCTATGTTAAGTCACATTCTCCCTAAATAGACTTTATTTTATTAAAAGCTGTTGTCTGTGAAGTTCAAGTTCATGAACTTGAATCTTTATAATTTTAAACTGCTTTGACTCATATAAAGCTTCTATATGTACTTTATAGCCTTTAAGGCTCTCCATTACATTTACAAGGTTTTAGCTATGGATGAAATTGTGCATGTGGTTTGAGAGATTGTGATGTTAAAATTTTTGATTAACAAGAGAGAAGAACTTAAAAGAAGAAATCTATTTTGAAAATAAATAGACCATGCACAAAGACTTCAAATAAGAGCTCTTGAAGGAAGGAAAGAATCTATAAAGCTTGAGTTGTATTTATTTTTTTACATGAAATATTTTACTTATTGATAAGAATAAATATAAGTTATGAAAGGTGGATATGTGGTTGGTCAAGTAGCAAGTATTTTAGTTTATTAATCAACTAATAAAAAAATTTCTAGTAATATTTTACAACCTTCGAGTTATTTGTGGAATTTTTAAAGTTAAAGAATATTTATTGCTATTTTTTTATTACAAACTTATCAAGTTTTAATATGTATAACACTATGAAAGTAAAAATATGGATTTTTTGTTTACATGCAAGCCTTAATATTCTTTTCAAGAAGCTTGAAACAATGTAGGAAGAGCTAATTTATTAGCAATTTTGTAATCCTTGAATCCAAAGTATGAGGTATAGTAAAGATTATTGATATGTACTTTGAGGGATATATATCAAAGATGAGTACTAATTATAATGCTATGGCAAGTAGTTCATAAAGATTTTTCTTGAAAAATTATTATATAGAATAATTTCTAATCAAGCAATCATTATTTGATAGCAAGCAATATCTCTTCAATCTTGTATTCATCAAGCAATTCTAAAGGCTTCTCAAAATCAAAACTTTGAACTATATAATAAATTCCAAAGCTATTCAATTTCAAAGTGATTATCTTCTTTTTAAATAAAAATACCATTAGCTTCTCTATTGTTGCTCCTTCCTACTATAAAATCCATGCATTTGTTAAGGTCTCTCATATGTCTTTCCTTAGATTTGAATCTTAAGAATAATGCCTGCTTCAATCTATCTATGGTTTTCACACACTCTAACTTCTCCAAACTCCTAGTATCAAGATTAGAAGTTTGGTTGAAGTCCAACATTATCATCATTTTGAAATAAGATCACAAGGTTCTAGTTTCATTGTAGCAATATACTTGAGTAGATGGATCAACCACATTTATAATTTTTTTTTCAAATCTTCTATCTTCTTCGCTCTATAGGACTAAAATGCTTATTAGTAATCTAAATATTCCTCTTTGTTTGCAATTGTTGATGCTATGCTAGTTTCTAATCTCTTTTTGAAGTCATTATGTATCATACACGTGCTAAGTCATGATCAAGAGCTTGTATAGGATCAAAAGGTGGATCCAATTATATTTGGTTTTTCTAAATAAACTTAGAACTTGTATTCAAAGCTTGTTGCAAAATAAGTGATAGAGATTCTTAAGTCTTCTCTATATAATCTTCACTTTAGACTATCTAAAAAAAAAACTTCAAGAACCAAAGTACCCTCTATTGTGGATGTTAAAAACTTATTTGATGTGCTCACTAGAAGTTTCTTTGATTCTTCAAGAAATATTATTAAAAATATTTAAAACAAGGATTGATATCTTTTATCTTAGAAATAATATCAAATATATTCGTATACATATCAACAACTTCTAATCTAACCATTGTCATAATAGAAAGAATTTTTCTTAAGAAAGCATTGGGCTTTTGGTTATCATTAAATACTCAACCAAGCCTCTAAATAAAAAAAATACCAATTCTATATATAAAATTATCCTTATAAGGGCAATTACATCAATATATAAGCCCTAAGTACCAAAGATCACCAAAAATGTAATAAAAATATTATAAATCCTTATATATCCTTAAGATAAATTTTTTTCAAATTTCAACAGGTTATATCTCATAATCAAATTGTTCAAAAAAATCCAAATTTTACATGAAGTACTAATGTACTTTTAAAAACTACTAAAACAAATTTCAATTATTAATTCATTACAGATCTTGAGATATTGTCAAAACCCTAATAGTAGCTTCAAACCCTTGTTTATATATACCTATGTATAAATTTCTTTATATGTCACAAAATAAATATTTAAATACCATAAAATTTTAATATATAGCTTTTTAATTTAATAACATATAATTTTGGAAATTTTGAGCCAAAAATTCATCTGAAAACTCAAGACTATCAACAAAACAATTCACTTACTACCTCTAAATTACATGTGCTATCTTCAATGCTCTATAACTTCTTCATACAAACTCTAAATACAAAAATTCTATTATAAAAAATATAGATCTTAAAATCATCCTTGTGGTTGTATCTCCTAATCTCTAAAATCTATCATAAAATCCCTCATATCCTCAAAATAGTAACAATATATCTTAAAAAGATACCTTAACTTCAAATGGCTATAATTTCATCAACCTAACTCCAAATCCTCTAAAATTTTTACAAAAATTATAGTCCAAATCCTAAACCTTACAATCCTTATTTTATATTTTCAAATGCTCCTTCTATAGTTGCCAAAACCCTTGTTATGGTTGTGGACAACTTGCTGAATGCCCATTGGACATGGCCTTGATCAATAGGGATAAAGATCTTTATCTTTTGCCTTCATCCAACTATGCCTTCATTTCATCCCTCTCCATAAGCCTCCTAGTAGTTTAGATTTTTATCTTTAGGCTTCCATCTATTCTTAAAGCTCTATACTAAACATCTAAATCTTATATAATTTAAATATAAACTAGTAAAATATAATAAAATTTTATATTTTATAATATAGTAAAATTTAATATCTATATATAAATATATCTATATATAATAATATAATAAAATTACTACCTATATATAATAATATAGTAAAATTTAATATTTCATAAATTATTATAGACAAACTAACAAATTCCAACTTTTAAACTTTAAATGGTTTGTCTTCTTTTGAATAGACCGCCCTAAAGTTTCTTCAAATCTCAATGTGGTATCATGGATATATATTTATTATAATTTTTATTTAAGTGATATGAATAGGTAGAAGTAAAAATAGATTTATTTTATAATATCTTCTAGAGAAGCTTCTTAGAAGCTTTATAGATGCCGCTTTTACTTTACATGTATTTATAGTTGATTAGTAGGTTAAAAACTTGGTCAAAAAATTAATCATGTGCTACATATATTAATAACTTATGAAATAAGCTAACTATGTGGCGTCCATATAGAAAACTTGCCTTACAAGTTAAAATATGTGTTGTACAAAGTCAACATGTTTTGCAGGTCCTATAGAATGTCACTATGTAGCTCTTATGTAGATAGTATATATAGAGGCAAGAGTAAAGCTTTCTTCACTCTTGTCAATTCTTTTCTTGTTTCTAGTCTAGTTTCAAGAGTCTATGGTTTTCTTATTTTTTGGCAATAGTCATTCTAGTTTCATTTTATTATACATACTTCCTTATTTCTATTTTTTCATACTTCTTTCAGAAAGTTTCACTTATTTATTTGCTTTCATTGAATTCTTGTCCTTGACATGTAGTCCTAGATAACATCTTAAAGCTCATTGGGCATGATCTTCAACAATGGAAATGAAGTCCTCTATCACTTGTCTTATCTATTCACATGCAATGGTTAAGGAGTCAAAATATTATACCTTTTATATCAAAGCCCATCTACATTCTTTACCAATAAAACTTAAAACTTCTATCTTTAATTACAAAACTTAAAATACAAACTTAAAAAAATTAAACAAGTATTTTATTTTATTTTTATTTTTATTTTTTTATATTTTTTTAATTACAATCCAAACCCTCATAACATTTCATATTATTTTTATATATTATGCTACTTTTCAACAGGTTATTTGCATGATGGCTTTATATAGGAGAACCATGCTCTTTTACACTTTTTGATCTATAAAAATTAATCTCTCTCTTTAAATTTTTCAATCTATGCTAGAAGTAGCTGTACGACACTTCACGTCTTCATGATAAGATTTATGGTCATTTTCTATCCAATACGGCATGACACAGAAGTTGTCTTAGTGCATACTTTTGATTCAGTGTTACGTTGGTTAGCTTAGGTGCTGTCAAGTATGACCTCTCAATGAGTGGGCATAGTTTCGACATGACTTCTATAGTTATACTACTTCAGTTCTGTAATTGGAACTGACCCTCACCTGATTTGCATTTCACAAACTAGTAATCCAAGAATAGGATCAATGACCATATAGTGAGTTCATTTATTGTCCAATTTTATGGCTAAGGTTTTGGACTTGAATTGTAGGTGGCATGTTTTCCTTTCAAAGAAATAACTGCCTTCCTCTGCAACTCATGTCAGCATTTTGTGAAGCTGCATATGCTTGGCTCAAAGCAGGTCTAGAGAATATTGTACTGGTCCTCTGTAAGGGAGGGATGGCGTACACTGGACTAATGATATCCTGCCTCCTCTTCCATCTCAAAGTATATTCATCTCTTTGTGTTGTGGTGAAGCAGTATGAATTCCATCTCCAATGCAGCATTTTGTCATTTACTTGTTTTGTGACATTGGCACTGGATTAGTTTGTAATTTCACCATGGCATGTATGTTTTAGTCATTTTTACTTCAAGATGATGATTTCCAAGTCAAATTTTGCTACTGTTTATCATTCAGTTATACACTTAACTTGCTTAAACCAAAGTATGTATTCTGGTTGTTGGTGTAGTTCTTTTCCACGGTAGAGGAGTCTTGAACTACTTTGTCGCACCGATTTCTCTAAACGGTTGTCTTTCTAGCCTCCTGTGTACAACTGAACCATTTTCACCTGGTTCACTAGTACAATCCTGCAAAGAGCATGTGGATCCTATGCTTGCATACACACTTTATGTGGATATTGATGCCGCTACGATGTATTTTTTACTTTCCTACTATTCCGTTGTTCTTGTTTGCTTGTTGACACCTACGCGGTTCATTTTCATCACAGATGTACCTTGAGAAGTATACGATTGATCAACTGCCCATCATGGATCCGTCCTTCTGTGACAATTTCAGATCATGACGGTACACTACACGCAGTCCCTCTCGAGAATTCCATCCACGGAGGACTTTACCCGCGCAACAGTCACTTCAGAACTGAATGCGTATTTGTTTCAACGCAATAGCTTTTTTTTTTGGGAAACGGATTTTGATTGTTGCAGATTTTTTTCAGGTTCCAGGGTATTGATCAGGATTAGCTGTTACAATGACCAGGTGTGTTGTTCACGAGCAAGAAGCATCCTGAGACAAGGACTATGTTGGTTCTTTCATTTTCCGCTCTTACACTCCTCCAATAATTCTCTTTACAGATGAAACAGATGTCCTGGTTCAGCGATCAATCGGAATTTCCGTTTACGCGCTTTTCAATTTGTGTATATAATGCAGATGATTCTGTACCGTTGAGATTTCGTATCTTTAGGGTATTTGTTACTAGTGCAGGCAGAAGACGTATGGTTGAGTGCTTTGAAGAGCAGAGTTTTCTTGTTTGAACTGCCTGACTGCGGACATGCTGCTACGGTTGATGGAGATTTTAAAATTCACATTCAAGACTGGAATGTTGATTTTTCATGGTGATTGACTATCCTCCTAAGTTTCTTCATTTACAAAATTTAGATTTAAGAGTTGAAACAGGTGTCGTTTGCTATGTCACCTGAAGCTGAAGTTTCAGAGCATGAGATCGTGTGCGTTAATCTCAATTTAAAATGTTTCAGATGTTGACCAACTAGATTCTATTGATTGCAGTTGGTTGAATACGAACATGATGGAGGGAAATGTTGTTCTTCAAATTCTTCAAGTAAATGACCTTGATGGAAACGAGGTAAATTTTCTTCCTTGGCGTAGACTTTGATGCCACATTTAACCAAAGGTTTTCTTTTTACCATTTTCGAGAGTAGCATCCCGGTATCATGCTAGAAACGCACTTCCAGTTAACCAGTTTCCAATATACTGGGGCTGAAGGAGGCAGCAGGATTTCAAGTTGAATTGGAATTGGAAGACATTAATTTATCGGTTTTGAAGGCAACTAGCACAGGAGATTCAGCGACATTAAATTTCAGGTCATCTTTGCCTCCAGGCATGACCTCTGGTTGAACATTTTCATGCACTGATACAGCAACAGATGGAGAGACAAACATCTTCACAGGTATTTCCTCCATTTGGTCATGATTGGTTCAGGTTTTGAGTAGAAAAATCGGCGAATCTAAAGCATGGTATCTGTTTATCGTGCCACTAGTAGATAGTATATTCCTCTCTACAACCTCTGCTGGTGGTCATGTTTATTCGCATTGCAAATGCTACCATTTGACAATAGATAAGCCAGAGGTATTTAATCCTTCACTGAGCCAGATAGATGTTTAATTGCTTTCAGGTGCTTTTAGCTGTACCCACCGTTTCAGGCTAGCCGTAGATGTCACAATTAAGTCATCTGCCAAGTTCTAATGTGAAGAATCTTGTAGACAGTGAAGAGGAGGAGGAAGGAAGTCCAAAGGTTTCAGCACGACCATGTACAGAGAATCGAGATATCAGAGTATCTGAGGCAACCGCTACAACCAGCCAGACACCATTTCAAACCGTGCTATCCAATGCTGTTACAGAAGTTAGCACGGGGTTTTTAAATGCTATGGACAAATTTGGTATGACCCATTTGAAAGCTCACCCACGATCTGCGAGCATGCCCAACAGCCCCCGAAACGTTTCTCTGGAAAGGCATGATCACGGCTCTTCACGATCAGCCGATCATGAAAAGGATGGCTTTTCCACTGGAAGTTTTAGATTCCAAACTTCAAAGGCGGAGCTTCAGAAAAAATTCACATATGATTTCGAGGGCGGTGAATCACCAAGCGTAAACACAGACTTACCCGACAACAGTTGTCGAGAATATGCAGCATTGTCCTTGGAATGTGACAACCGTCGCATTTCCTCCCAGAGTGAAGATCCAGGGTCTTCGCTTAAAAGTGAAGACGATGCAAGTTTGATATGCAGTGATCCCCCCAGTGATTTTCAAGCCTTGGCTGCTGCCAGTTCAGCTGACGCTTCTCTCTTCACTTTTGGTGAAGAAGACTACGATAGTGACGAAGTATGACGCCGCCACAATCGAGCCCCCGCCCTCGCCAATCGTGGACTGCATCTGCTGCTCTTGATCCCACGAACGGTTTACATCCACCTTCACAAACACCGTCCCATTTTCGTGCTGGGTCTCCCGGTAGAAAAACTTTAAGGGAAAGCTCGTGGCGCGACGATCGTAAACCAGGTCCTTTTTGTCTGATTTCACGACCATCTTTGCCTCCGTCTTGCTATCCTGGTGAACCGCACTGGCTCTGGCGCCTTCGGTATACACGAGCTTGTTCGAGAAGCGAGACGAGTAGAATGCACTTGTGGTCAGGTTGCCGAACGAGGATTCCAGGTAACCTTGGTATGAGAGCACTCTCGAGGCATCTGTGAGGAACGTCCCGTCCAATCCTAGGAATCTTGACTTGGTATGAGATTGACTAGCAACGGTGGAGTGCTCTACCAGTTCACCTTTGGTGACATGCAATGACGGATTAACCCAGAGGTGCAGGTTAGCGTTGATGAGCCAGAAGGGAAGGGCATTTGTGACTGTCGCACTGAATGTGTGGTTGAGTCCGTCGACGAGTTTACCGAGAAATGGCGTGATGTCAACGTCGTATGAAGGTAGGACAAAGGAGCCGATGCCGGAAATGGGCCGCCAGAAGTAGTAGTCAGCGCCGCCCGTGTAGAATACGGGAAATGGGTACACGGCTCCTGCGAGGAGGCCATCTACCGACACAAGCACCTCTCGGAAGGTGCCGTTTCCTGCAACTCGGTCGCTGACGTTGTTCGCTTCAAGGAACTCATTGGGCGGGTTGGTGTACCAGAATTCATCAGAGCAATGGAAGGAGACGCAGATCTCAAGCACTGCTTTGTATGTATTCCGTGGTATTTGAACCTCTCGGCTCTGCACATCGCTTTCGTTGTGTAGCTGGAACCAGTATCCACCATTAAGAGGAGACGCCTTGGCGACTGGGAGGATCACATCGGCAACGCCTCCGTAGCTCTTTTTGGATGACTTCGCTGTCATCGATTGTATCGCCGAACTTGTGCTGGACTAAGATTTGGTTGCAGACCTCCTTCGCTCCATAGGGTATGTACACCGGCTTTGATACCTCAAAAAACTCCTGCCCACCCTGATCTCCTTTCTCGTAGTGTTGATCAGGTTTTAGAGCCTTTCTGGGGAATCCGTGAATCCCATTCAAATGGCGATGCGGCGAGATTTGCCCCATAGCATTAGAAAACTTGCCACCCAACACTTCCGGAATGTTAATTACGATAATTAATAGGAAACCCAAGAGCACGACAGGCGTCTGCGAATGTGTGCTTTGAAATTTTCCAAGTTTCTCATCTCGCAAGGTCCCCATCACGCGTATACTGCACAGATTCCAACCATCTGACGTGAATAAACTACTACCCGAAGCGTCTGCTGGCATTCCATCTATTTCAGCTAAAGTCTAGGGTTGGGCAGCGTGGCGACAGAAAGTTAGAATAGTTTTTTCTGAAGGGTAGAGTACATCTTACCTTCAAACATAAGAGAGTCAAAAACTAGTCTTGCAAACATAAGAGAAGATAGTTGCTTCTTTAACATGAGTAATTACAGAGGGCGACGGCTGATTAAGGCAACAGATGCCAGCGGGGCAGGTTAACTGATTCTAGAAATGCGTACGTTGCTCGTTATGTCCACTTGTGCTGTCAAATCTGCAATGCATCCCTGGAAGCTCAGATGAGCATCATTCATTCCAGCACCTCCTCAAAGGAAGAATTCTTCCGAGACAGTTTAGATGTGAGTCAAAATTTCTGGAAACGTGTGTTAATCTGGTTTGGTTAGGTCTGCGTTTAAAAGATGGCCTTTACCTTATCTAAAACGGAATCAATAATAACTCAAATTGCCTGATTATTGATTGTTAACTTAAAAAGGATTTTAGAAATTATAAAGTGCATTTTCGGAACACGTAGTTTCAAATTTTTACTTGATATATCCGCCCCTGATTCTAGCAAACTCACTGACCCACCGATCCTTCACTGTACTGGGTCACTCACGGGAGAGAGTCACATCCTGTCCTGCACACACATCAGGTGCCACTCTACTCCCTCCTCTTCTAGATCCCATATTCCCCTCTGCGCTCTTCTGTCTGCTTCTGTACATGACATCCACAACGAGACGACTCAGGATGAGGGGACACAACCATCAGGAAGAATGTGAGACTGTTGTCAACCTTCATAAATTGAACAACATATCAGACATGCCAAACGCCATACTCAACCCTGTTTTACTTAACCACTGCCATGTGTAAGCGATTCCTCTTTTCTGTGCCTACTCCACAAGCACAAGCTCGAGGATGATGAGTAAACTTCGCAAGATTGGGCTCACGACTGCTATCTGAGTGAACCCGGTGAGTACTGCAGCTTCACGTTTTTGCACCGCACAGAAGACAGGAGGTAAACAAAAAAAAGGTATGGCACCAGCATCCATCGCTCCGAGCTTCATCTGGGGGTGTCTCATGGCCCTCACGGATCCTCAAACCTCGTCTGTCACTCTACCTGTCACCTTACTCACCTCTATCACACTCAGCTCCCAGCTCCAGCTGAATCCGTTGCTAAAGACAACACATTCACGTGGCATTCAACGCGAGGATTAAACTTCATTTTGATGTCCCTCTGCTGCAAGCTTGAAAAAACCTCATGTTGGCACTTGATCTTGCTCAAGCCCCATTCATCTCGTCTCATCTGGTATCGAAAAGTTTTTCGAGTTCCCACTTGCCGCTTGGGTTGCTGTTTGTGTGGCTAGATGCCATCGCCCATTCCGTTGCAGTGAACCTGACTAATTCTAGCCATCGGTTGCAAGTTGAGTGTGATGATATGGACAGGCGCTGGTCACCATCTCATTGACTTTCATTTCATGGTTCTGTGTAGGATTTGATCAGCATCATATCATGGTTCCCAGGTCCCAACTCATTCTCATCAAATCCAACGCCCACAAGTCCAGGCCCCATTTGCACCTGTACAGATTTCAAATCTAGTTGTGGAACGCAGACAGGATTTATAACCACCATAAGGAAAAAAGTGAACATGAAGTGGTCACCACACAACACGTCAATCAAGCCTAAACTTGCACTGGTGATTTACTGGGATGAAATGATCTACTAAGAGGTGTAGAAACAGACTGGAGACAAGACTGGGGGAAAGTCACGGAGTTTTAAAGTGACACAAGGTGGAGGCGTACCACGATACTTTTTTGTGGTTCTAGTCCCTCTTAGGGCAGGGTCTGCCAGATTCTGCACCTCCACTCATGCTTCTCATTAATCAAAGCCTTCGTCCATCGGGGCCTCACTAATCTGCCGTCGGACACTTCGGCGTGAACGACAATGAAATCTCACCATTCTTCCTGCCGATGTTTAGTTTATCCGAGAAACTGTAGTCTTTCTTCACATAGTTTGAATCTGCGAATTTCGAGGGGCTTTGTGACCATTGAAACGTTTTCACACAACATGGATTTGTAAAGAAAGGGGTTGATGAGTAAAGGATCAACCAGCTAAAGGGTGTCCGAGTGATGTAATTCAACACCTCCAGATCTGCACAATGAAGCAATGAATCTATCACATAAGCACATCTCTGGCATTTGCTTGAACCTAAGAACACTGTACACATTAATAGTTGAAAATTGTGTATATGTTTGATATTCAAAGAGTGTGGTTTGATTGGCTAATTGAAACCTTCCAAAATGTCCTTCAACCTTTTGATTGAAATTGTACTAGGAACTTGAACTTGAAGAGATTCTCAAGATCTTTTCTTGAAGGGTAAAGCCACACTGTGATCCTCAACAAATTGCAAGAAATTAGTGTATTCAAAGTTGCTAGTGTATGTTTTGGGTTGTTTTGAGCTTGGCATGACTCGAATCATTCGCTTTTCTACGAAAACGATTTCACACAAGCTAACCAATTCCAGAAACGGTAAAATATTTCCGTTTTCATCACGATGAATTTTAAGCTTGAAATCATAGAGAGCAATAAATAAATATATATATATATATATATATATATATGTAGTCATCAATTGAGTCCCCAAATTCATCAACTTTATTCATTCATTTTAATTTATCATAATTCTCGGGCTCTCTGTCCTTGGGATGGCATTGTGGAAATTTTCATTGTTCTTGCAACAGCATAGATAAACTGTACAATTCCTTTCTGTTTTCAAGCATGGGAAAAAAATCAACTTATTCTTGCTTTTCATTCCTTTTCATTAGCCAGCTACAGTACCAGGCCTTCACCTCCACCTTCACACCTTTTAAGTCCAAGGTTAGGGTTACTGTTTCAACCTCAATCTCCCTATTCTCTTTTTAAAAAGATCAGGAAGAAAAGGAATATATATATATATATATATATATACACACACACACATAAAAACACACACACACAAAAGTAGTAATGGTAAACTCCACACAGCTTTGACCCCAAAACTGCAAGGGACAACATCTAAACTCACTTTCTCAAGATCTCATGTGAATAAGATTTTTGTACAAGTTTTCAGAGAAAGAGATGGAAATGGTCACAAACAGGGACATTGGTCAACAGCTAATTATTGGTTAAAAGTAAGATAATAACCCCATTGAGCAAATGGCCAATGCCCTCTCTGCAAAGGCTGCACATGAGAGGGTACAGAGTTGGTTGGTGTTTTCTTGGTTAACGTAAAGAGGACTACCATGCATGGAGTGCCTTTGCATAGTGAAACAGAGACTGAGATGAGGTACAACTGCATTCATATTCTCATGATAAAAAGGTGGAGGACTCTCTCTCTCTCTGTGTATGTCTCTCTCTTTCTGAGTGTGTGTCTGTGTGTGTTTGTGTGGTGTGGATCCATTTAGCACACAGACAGGACCTGACTCTAGTTTTCTTGCTAGTCCTCTTCATTCACCCCTTCCTCATGAAAGAGATCATCAACAAAATGAAGCCAAAACTACAAAATCAAATGTATTTAGACCTCATGAGACCTAACCCATTGTATGATGCTGGAATTGAGAGCAAGTTTACAAGAGTGGATAGTAAACTATGAAAGGAGGAGATGGATGTGAGCACACACATCTTAGCAGTAGTTAAGAGGACAAAAGTACAGTTCAAATTTTGGTAGGTACTAAATATTCAAATTTGATAAACATTTAAATTTTGGCAGGTACTGAAAAATTCTTTTAAAATAGATTTTCGTAAAAATTTAAAAACAGACATGTTTTTTCAAATATCATACACTAGTAAACACATTCAATAACAATTATTAGTATTAAATTTTAGTTATCTAATAATTTATTATGCATTAAAATCACAATATCAACTTTAGTATTTTAAAAAGATAGTTGTGTTTATATTTATTTGTATTTACAAAAATGAAAGAATTTTACAAAGATAAATAAATATAAACACAAATTCATTTACAGTATTTATATATATATATATATATATATATATATGAGCTCATGATCCATAAAAGTAAAAGCTATAAAAAAAATGTGGTAAAAGTAAAAATCATGTTCAAGTATGAAACACCCAATAGAGAATTAGATTGTTCAAAATGAGATCCACCTCAAATTGTTTTTACTTGCAAATCCTATAAGTAAGATTTACCCTCACATGTTTCATTCATATAGGGATTTTATCATCCTAATCTCTCGCTACTATTGCACTTAAATCATATTTTTTTGCTCTCCTTGAAAAAATCCTTCTAATAAACAAGTTGACTTTCTGTAAACTTTTTATGTATTAAAAAAATCTCAAAACATTTGTCGATTCCCATTCTAATATTTGTCAAACTAATTGAAATACTTTAAATAAAAATATATCATAATATCTGATTTTTTTAATGTTTTTATTTTTATTGAGCTCACCACAAGTACAAGAAATGTGTTGATTTAGAATGCAATTGCTGGGTCGATCCTCAAAAGCGTGTTCGGGAGGAGGGATCAGGAACAGAGACAATAGGTTTGATGAGTTTTCGTCTTCTTGTAGTTGCAGTGGCTCGTTGTGCACACTACTCCCGAAATGCTGCTTCTGGACTATCTGGAGATATGTCATTGTTGTCTGAGGTGAGTTCACACGCATTTGTTATGACCCTCATGACTTTGTAGTTTTGGTTTTTGCCACTTTTCCGCTGGAAGGCCCTAATAATGTCCCAGAATTTATCTTGAGGAAAAAATTGATGACCCCAGGTTCTATGGCAAGACAGAGGAGGAAGAGATTTTCTTGGGTTAAAAGTTGGTTTTATTCTTTGTTCGCAATGCCAGGTAGTTCTCCTCAGTATAATATGTCCGAAACTAGGTGAGTCGCATTATTGGTGTGTCGAATTCCTGATTGGAGTGAATTATGCAGATATAATGTTTGGTTGACAATCGATTGCGTGCTGTTTTAATAAGCTTGGATGCAAGATGCAGGTACATATCTAACGGGGCATTTTGAGCGCATTCTTTACAAGCTATCGCCTCGATTATCTTCCCTTTCACCCCCCAGATTCTGATGGTGTGTAGAACAAGATAATTGCCTGCTTTATTGATTTTTAAACTATCCGGACTGTGTATCTTATTAGGCATGGCATCTCTGCAACGATTCTTTTCTGGAGGGCACGAGCTCCATGGACAAGACTGGAATCATCTTCACCTTTCTCAGAGTGTGTTTTGTGAGCAGAACGTCATTTCAGTTGAGTTCAGCATGGTCCTTAAATGGACTTTCCACTTCCGGTTGTGTGGCTACTTAACCATGACTGCAAAATCGACTCGTTAGAGCTTAATCTGTACGCAATCCAACCCGATTACTCAAGTCCTTTTCCCGACTGCACGTATACAGTGAAATTAATGACTGCCTTCGACAGCGGGTAATTTCGTTATGGACCAATTAGCTTCCTTTGCAGCAAACTTCAGGGACTACAAATCTCAAACATTAAGTTTCGAATTCTCCAATTGTAGGACTCGAGGTTCAGTTGGCAAGGGATTCTTGCAGGAGAGAATCATCTTATTGAGTATTTACGGCCATGTGCAGTGGATTCCAGACAGAGTTAGGGTCGCTGAAATCAGCTCTTACATGTAATTCATTCTGCCCTGCGATTAAACATGCGCGAGTGAGCCTACTGCTCTGATTCTAAATTGGGGTGGAATCATCTGAAGTACTACCACACTAAGCTTATTGATCACTGCCATTAATAGCAGGGCCGACTTTACCTATATACAGATTATAGTATCGCAGACCCCAAACAAGGGAAGTGACCCTTATCAATATGTTGTAATTGAGAAAAAGAAACTAACGAACATGTTTTTGCCTTCGGTTTATAAAATGATTACCGCTTATCCCTGACTTGAGTTTGTATGTTGTTTGGAGAAAATAAGGGATTGGTAGGAGACCAAATCGCGTCATCGTATTGGTCGATGAAGAGGGCAGTGCGATTCGGTGCCAATCTCTTCTACTGCCCAACCTTCCAGCACCAATTGGAGTGGTAGCGATGATTCTCATCAACCACTATTAAGCTGGAAACAGGCGGACTACGTCTTGGACGAATCATTCATAAAGTTCGTCATGGCGTTGGATGTCCTTGCGTATGACCACGCCAGCCATTCTGGTGTTGTTTGTCATGGTTAGACTTCCCGGACATGCTTCCAACTGTGTCAACAACCATCCCTTATACCTATTTCTAGTGAGTAACGCTACAAACGTCTTCAAATATGTCGAAGGTTCAATTGAAAAGTCAGACTTTGGCTGAAATTGTCCTTCACAAGTGTTAAGGATGCAGTTGTAACTCGAAGCCGGATATTTGCATAACCAGTTAACGTGTAGAGATCTTGATGAATTTAGGTTCTTAATATAATTCTTGAGTTGAGCAAGTATCTCGAAGTTAGAGCGACTTATTTGCGTCCTTAACTCATCACGGTATTGTGACATTCATGGACTGGGGCTGTCACATTGAGAACAGGTTGACACTGCTAAATCTAAATTCATTGAAGTACGCTGCATTAACAATGCTTTCGGATCGGCGGAGGACCAAGGCTGCCCAGATTGTGGAGCCAGAAAACATAAATGTTGAGGGAGTTATTAGACATGAATACGTAGACAAACAGGAAATACCAAATTACAATGAACCTAAAGACCTTCATGGTTGCAATTGTCCATGTGCACCTCGTCGTGGAAATCCACCGTATCTTGAACGTTATCCTAGCAAATCTTTGTTGATCAATGTTTGGAATCGGGTGTTCCATACTGCTAATTGCAATACCATATAGTTTAGGACATGCATGCCACTTAGAAGATGTTGGCAAGTGATACCGTCAAAATTCATATTTATGCAAATCACGGAAATTGGACTACGTCATTAACTCGTCATCTTTACATTAAACAATGGATGAAACTCACATCTTTACATTAAACAATGGATGTAACTCACATCTTTACATTAAACAATGGATGTAACTCACATCTTTACATTAAACAATGGATGTAACTCACATCTTTACATTAAACAATGGATGTAACTCACATCTTTACATTAAACAATGGATGTAACTCACATCTTTACATTAAACAATGGATGTAACTCACATCTTTACATTAAACAATGGATGTAACTCACATCTTTACATTAAACTTTTTAAAATCTGGGACGGATTGGGTGACAGTCCTTGAGGGATGCCGAAGGGGACTACCTGAGTGTACGAGATTTGAAGATGAACGTCAAGGGAATTGCCAACTTTCAATGGCCATCGAAACTACTCATTTTTGACATTCGACCCAGAAAGAAGTTGCTAAACGAACCATGTCAACCTATCCGCTAAGCCAGGATGATGCTGAATGTTAAATCGAACACGTGCAGTTCTACACTGCGAAAGTATCTGTTTATGTATTTTTAGTGCCGGCACTAGATCCAAACAGGTGCGTTGAAAGTGTGAGTTACTATAAAAAAAACCATTCAGACAATATTAGCCCATGGAAACAACGTGCAAACACCGAAATACTGCTGGAACCATCTCGTCCTCTTACCCTTCTCACAGCTTACTCTTTGAATTTGTCAGGTTATGTGTGCATGAGTAATGATATTTGAAGATACTGACACGCCACTGATGGTAAAGTTGTGACTGATAGAGAAAGCCATTGAATATGCTATGCAAGCATTAGCTTTCAACCTCTGCTGCATTTCGTTGAAAAATAAATTCCCAGAAGAGCGATTCTCTACTTCTTTTTTCCTCTGAAGAGACTGGATGTTCTAAAAGCTTTCCAAGCAGCATACATCCTACATTTAGATAACGTCTCCTGTACACAGAAATGATACTCATGTGAAAGAATACCTACCAATAAGGTAAACAAACACTCAACAAAATCAAACCCCTAGACATCAAATAAGTTCACTTGGTTGCACAGTTTAATGCACAGATTTAACTTTGCAGAGACAATGAAAGTTGGATTACTACTATAACAAGACTAAAGGGTGGAAAAATCGTCCGAGAAAAAAACTGTGACGAATTACAGTGAGCTCTAAGGTCAAATTCATGACACCAGGTCTATCTTCCGAAGTGCAATGTGAAACCTGATCATTCCAATTTACTACCGAGTCAAATTCTTCGGATAAGCCTCATCTGAATCTGTTCCAAACCTGTAGAATAATATCGACAGTGCTCAAAGCATAACCTCATGATCAACATCAGTTCTGGAGAGAGAAAATTTGATCCATACCAACCTGTGATTGTTTTACAGTGAGCTCAATTCACTTTAAAAAACGAATGCAAAGAACAGGCGCTTGAATCGTTACGAAGCGGACTAGAAAAAAAATACACAGCGAAGTGATACAGTGTCTGGAAGGATGAGCTACATTGGGGTATCGTGAATCAGAACTAGGCCTAGTGCTGTAAACATGTAGTGTCGGATTAACCTAGAAGTAGTTGATGGATTGACAGCTAAAACTATGCACCAAAGCACCAGCATGATGAGGCAGTCTTTTTGGAGTTATTGGGTTTGTAGTGACCCCCTCTTTGTTCACCTTCCGGTCTGGAATGGCTCGCAGGGACCCCTCTGCGATCCTCAGCAGCAGCCTGGAACATCATTGTGTAGTTGCTGTCGCCTGCGTTATCATCCCAGTCGCCGAACTTGGGAAGGTGGCCAGCGCCTGCATAGTCGTCATCCCGTCTCGGAGTGCGCCCACCTTTGGAGGATGAATCGTTGATTCTTCCTGGAGCTCCGCGACCCACCACTTGACGCGGCCTGCCGGATCCTAAAATATTGTCTTGAGATTTTCGAAGTCCTTGACCCTCTCTCTCACTAGAACCTTGCTTTCCTCCAGAACCTTGCCGCCTCGGGGGAACCTCTTTCTCGTACGACCCGGAGCCTCCTGCACTACGAAGATTGCCTGATCCTTCACTCGAACCTGGCCCTCCCCGTCTCATCCGAGAGTCCGCTGAAGCATCTTTTTCCTGCCCTGGTAAATCACCGCGGCCAGCAGGGGCACCCCCTCTGGAATTTCCCCCCTGATTGTTCAACCCTTTTGCTACGTCCCCTGACCCATTTCTCCCGATTAGCCGGGTTGGTGCACCGAACACTTCCGAGTAGTTGCCGTGGTTTGCATCTCCAAACTTCGGAATGTGGCCAGCCATTTCGGGTCTCCTTGCACCAACACAATCCTTCTCTACGTGTGTGTTCTTTCGTCACAACCAACTGAGAAAATCGTCCAAGAGCATTGGCTACGTATCCGGATTCGGACGTTTGACTAGAACCATCCTCCGCCGGCAAGACAGAATACAAACGAACCCCAAACTCCAATATCCTTCGCCGAAACCCTTCCACTCTCTCTCTCTCTCTCTCTCTCTCTCTCACAAACACTCAATTTGAACCAGTGCCTGCTCAAGATCAGCTTTCAAGCAACCACGAAACTACTGTTCTCCGGGGAGGCACTCCCGATGAGGTACAATAAAACCCAGCTCCACACCTTCTTCAGCAATCTAGCAACTGAGATCACATCCACCACATCCCCCAAACCAGCAGTTCCTGGCGCCTTTCAACTCCGCCCCCGTTGATTGTTCCCTGTGCTGGAAGCCGTAAGCAGACAAACCCTACACCACAAGCTATGAAGATATCTACAACGCATTCGCAATTGCATCCTATAAATAATGGTGGTGGCCGACTAAACCATTTGCGCTGGACGGGATGCAGACTAATGCAGGAATTTAGTACGCAGCACAGCAGGGGTAGAAGGATAGCATCTTCAGGTCAGATCCGAACACTTTCTATAACCTGGCCCGCATAACTTGCTTCGTTGGACGTAAGATGTGGGACAGCTGCCAAGAACGGCGTCGATCAACCCTCATTTTGCCACTTGGCCAGGAAGGGGAAGATCTTTGGACAGGTCAACGATCAAAACCGACACTGCCACCACCAGGACCCTTAAAGGGAGGAATCCCTGGCTCGTCAGAAGTATACTAATGCCAGTTGCGCTACGGAATTGTCCTTTCAATGCAGACGATTTAAACAGGTCCGATATACATCCAGTCCCGGTCTACCTCCCACGTCGACGATGATCCCAACCCTGTCGCTATTTGGACGAAATCATCGACTTGTAAGGGAATTATTGTACGAAACAAAAAAAATGTTTATACTAAGTAACGTTCAGGAAGGCTTCCTGTGTACAAACGAATTGCTGATCATTGTGCCAAACTACTGACGTAGTTTGCCATCGGAATAACTTGATCAATGAACTTAGTTATAACACTAAATGCTTATCAACTTGTTAAGTAATCGAACTTTCCCTAGAGTTTCACCCAACTTTATCCACCGGTTTGTGTTAGAATCTTGACTTAAACAAAATCAGTAACGGGGAAAACAAAAATAAATATATAGAACTAGAGTAGAAAAAGGGAGAAAAAAGTACATTATCCACGTCTATTTATTACAGAACAAGCTTTCAGTGAATCAAACCTTATCTTTAAGGCGAGCATGCTCGTAAATGTTGTCTTTAGACTACGCATAAAATAAAAAACTTCACGCGTCACAATAAAAACAACACTACCACCACCACCACCAACAACAACAACAACAACGAAGTGTCACAGTCAACAAATTATGCGTAACATTCATCAATATTCCAGCAGCTTCGTTCGTTAAAAATCAATCTCAGCGTATATCAACTAGTCTCGTCTTCGTTGAAGCGAAGATCACTGGGGCTAGAGATCGAATATCGGTTTAATTAATTTCCTGGGACGAGGGGGCGGGGTGATGTGAGCATGCGGAGAACATGGCATGGAAGTCCACGTGCTTGACTTGTGAGCTGTAATGACCCTAGCAATAGAAATGGCGAGAACAGGCACGAGGGGATTCCATCTCTTTGGTGGTACCACTAATGCACACGGAAAGATAAGCCCTGCTGGATTGGCAGTTCTTACTATTTCATCCTCCTCCTCTTCCTCTTCTGCAGCCACCGCAAACCCCCTATCGACAAGCGGATGATCCGGGAACTCGACGATGCAGCAGCAGCAGCTGCGGCAGTGCAGACATGGCCGCAGATTGCCGATCGCTCAGAGAGGCAATCCGGATCTCCTGCGGTCAGCTCTACGATCCGCCAGCCTTCAGAACGAGTGTGAGTGAGTGGGAGATCGGCGTTGCCCATTGCAACGAACCATCGCGGATTTCAACTCCTCGTTGGCGAGCAACGAGGTCATCGCCACCCAAGTGACCGCCGACGACGAGCGAAGCTGCGTGCGGCGAGATTCACGACGCGAGGAGAAGCTCGTCGACGAAGAAGCCTTTTGTGGGCGTTGGAATTGAAGTTGGTGGAGGAGGGTGAGGATGTTGAATTTACTTTTTTTCACGATTTTTACTCCAAAAGCATAAAGGAGGAGTAACCTTGTTACATTTAATAAATGGATATGAGATGAAGCAAATGGATGGGTGGAAAATTGTTTGAGAAATTAGCAACAAAGGGGTAATGTGTGGTAAAAGTGCATCTTCCACTCTTACAAGAATTTCCAAGTGAGAGAGATGATGATTTTAAGGGTACAAAATGAAGATATATTTATATATATATATATATATATATATATATATATACATATTTTGGGTGGTGTCTCTCAAACCATCTTGTAGAGTTAATTGTTTCTTTACCAAAAGTGTCGCTTGTTTATATTAGTGTTTAACTTTCATTAGGCAATATTAATGTTCTTGTATTCTATTTATTTGGAAGCATCTCCTTCTTTGACAATGAAAAAGGTGGTAAGATAGGAGAAATGGATAGAAAAAGATATAAAAATAAATAAATAAAAAAACTGTAAGAGATTTAGGCTAGTTTTACACTTTCATAGAATACACTCATAGACAACACCATAGGATTAATTTAAATTTTCTATACAACAAAAGATACATCTCTTGTGGTGTAGTCATATATATAAATCTTTCAAGAAAGACACATTTTCTTTAAAAACAATAAGATGTACAATATGAAATAAGTATGTATATGTATATATATATATATATATATATATATATATATACATAATATATTATCATCAGTTCTCACATTCTCTTATATATATATATATATATATATATATATTTTGTAATGTGTTTTCAGTTTTAATTTTATTTTCTAAAAACAATTCTCTAAGTTGTTCTACTGCTTAGACATTCTACAATCTCTTAAAAATATAACAAGTAATAAAAAACAAAAAAAACGGAATAAAAATAAATTTCAATTATACATGAAATTTGATGTGACTATTACATAATATGATTTAATTTTGGACATGAGTTTTATTATAAAACTAATGTAGTTATATAAGAAAGTTTATAAGTCAAAAGCTAGTAATAAACTCAACAAAAAAGTTGACACCACCATACTTGACTTCATTATATAAGAAACTTTTAAAGTATAAAATTATACCATTTTGAATGTACGTGTAAAGAAAATCATGTTGCAAAATGAACATTGATAAACCTCAAAAGTTATCTTAAATATTACTCAATTATATATATATTTTTTAAATATACCTTTTTTTTATTAAAAATCAATTAGTATTTTTATTTCCATAGCTTTAATAAATATATTTGATATTTTTATGAAGCCATTTTACAAATAAAAAAGATGAATTAAGTATTTATTTTTAAAAGTAGCTTAATAGTTTGTGTAAGTAGAATTTTTGAATTAGAATGAAAAATCCGTCTATGACAATAAATAAATTAATAAATAAATTTAAATTTAAAAAATCATATGATTTTTCTTTTATGTGGCGAGAAAATTCTAAGTGAAAGTTGTACATGTATGTAGCTGTTCTTTTAACAAGGACCAAGAGTTGGGTATTAAAAAAGAAAAATAAAATAAAATAAAATAATCTCAAATCAGAACAATAATGATCACTAAATACAATATATATTTTTTTTCGAATTCCCATTTAGTTATTATCACAAAATAGTCGATTACTAGATTATGTGAACCCTTTGCAAAAGAATATTTATGTACAAAAACAAAATCAAAGCACCATCTCCTAATTATGCAAATCTCACACGAACCAATACTTATTATTCAAGTAAACTCGGGACATTTGAGGCGCACAACATGAAAGAGACGTGATTAAAAGAATTGTTGTTTCTGTTGTTGGTCTAATTTCATTTTATTTCTTCTTTCCTCCCCTTTACCGTTTGTTCACATCCATCAACGAAAGGGTCCATACCATATTGACAAAAATCAAAAAACAAAACAAAAAAATAAAATAATTGCGCAGTTGCTCAAAGTGCTGATGGGATGCACTCATGCACACATTTTGCCAACCTACGCGAAGAAAAGGTCGTCAAATGGGTCTACTCAGTTGACTCCATGTTGCCTTTTTCCACAGCCTGAAAGACTTGTTCTCGGGACCCGTCACCTCATATTCCTGCAACAATTTCCAATGAGTTTGATGACTTTTCAGCGCCCGCATCATGTTCTAAACGAAACCAGTAAGTTGGTTGGTTCACATCACTCCCTGAAGTTGAGCAACCTGATTGTTTGTTTTCCAGATTGCAACTTGCCTAGCCATTTTTATTTTCATTTATATGGTGTGAAGTATGATGTATCCGCTTACTTTAGTAGACCGTCAGATGATCGATCCACCCCCGCAAACCACAATACATATATAACAATAATTCTGGGCAAGTTGATTCTAAAAGAAACCGCCCCATTTGTCAACTTGCTGCCGTTGCTGGAAACGGACAGCGGTATACTTTGGGGCACAGAGATTTGTTAGGGAATTGATGCGAGTGTGTCGAGAGCCCTACTACACTGATCTCCTATCTCTACTAGGCTGGTAGAATATTCAATTCTGTGCCTGACAAGCCAGAGCCTGTACGAATGCGACAGAACGGTTATTTGGTATGAATGAGTTCTTTCCCATGTGCCAGTGAAGGCAGCTGAAGATTCCCCGTGTTGACAGAGGAAAGGGGCGCTTCCGGAATGGCTCAGAATGCATTTAGTGAGTTGGTGGGCAATTGACTGGTTTGATTTTGAAGTTCCTTGTGGCTGTGTGGGCACTGGTTGCGCACGTTTTGAATCATGATGGAGAAGAAAGAGGGGCTCAAACCAGAGGCAGTTCTATTTTTGCGGTAATCCCGAATTTAGTGAACTTTATTTGAA